TAGGGAGTGGTCATTATTTATGGGGAGGGTGGTTGGGAAATGGGAGCGGGGGGGGGCAGACGAAGTTTTACCCTTATAAATAGGGGGGGTTCAAAAAAGTTTTAACACAGAGAAAGGGGGTGGTCATAAAAGTTTTTGAACTTAAATACCATGTCTAGAGTTCTGATTTCTATAATCACAAATAGCAAAAAAGAAGACTCTGAAAATGCTATTTCCAACGATCTAGAAACTCAAAATTTTCAAAATTACTGCTCAGCGCCAACCATGGTAGCGCCTCGCGATCGTGGGAGTTGGGCCCACTAAGTTTAACAAGCTTTCTACCCCCTGAGTGACCCAGTTGTGGTATTTACATAAACATACCATGCAAGTACCCTTAACTGATCAGATTCGGTCTATCAACGCACAATGTAACGCTGTATATCCAAAAATCTGTTTCAGAAAATGCTCACATTTCAGTTCTAGGGGTGGAAAAATACAAAAAATTTTCTGGGGGAGAATACCCCCAGACCCCCCTACTAGTACATACGATACCACACCAAACTTTTTGTCACCAACAACCATCTGTCATCTCTCCACACTCAATATAGTATGGTCCCTTTTGTAGATGCCCACCCCCGACAAGTTCTTAAAAAAACCCTGTGTTCAAATCATGTCGCTGTATGAAGACGGGTCATGGGTTAGGGTTATGGTAGGACAAATGTTGCATTGCAAAGTAGTAACACATAATATATATTTTTTAATCATATATGGTTGAATCATATTCACCAGGGTAAAACATCATGAGTTAGATTAAACTGATTGTCCTAATAGCTAACTTTACCTGCAACGCACACCTGTTTCATTGCTGTTAAGTTTTCAATCCACACTGGGGAGGGGTCAGAAAAGTTTCTACTTTTATGAGGGGGAGGCACAAAAAGTTTGCCTTCAGTCTGGAGGGGGGGGGGGTGTCAAAAAAGTCTTCAATCCTTATTTCCCCATTTCCCAACCTCCCCCCCCCCCTTCCCCATAAATAATGACCACTCCCTAAGGTGTTGACGAATCAACAAAAAATTATATTAATGCATTAAAATCGCCCGAAGATCGTCTTGTATAAGGCACGCAACTCGAATAGCGTTAATTATTTTTGCTGCGGAGCGAGCGAGCCTGAAGCGAGCGAGCGTAGCAGCAACCTAATATATGCAGAGAGGGGTTTGAACTAAATTTTATTTACCGCATGGAATTGTGGTCGTGCGCGCTTTTTATGCGCAGAACACATATTTTAAACTCGCTCGAGTCTTTTATTGAATTTCTAAAGCTTTTCAAGTCTAATGTTACGCTTACATTTGTTTTGGACTTTGGCCACTGTCAGTTTTATATTTTTGATAACGTAAATCTGTGTATATAGTCTATAAAATATAGTAAATGCGCCTAGCAGTAAACAGACTTGATATGAAATTTGATCTTAATTACCTGTATGCCAATGAGACGCACATGTTTAATATCTGTCACCTCTGATTGCCCTTTAACCCCTGGTCTGTGCTATCAGTTCCATTCACATTTCACAGCTCACTAGTCGCTGCGAGTAATCACTGTGCTTGATATAATTTGTGCTGTTTACTGTAGTTCAATTTGCTTTTAATGCCCGCAGGAATCCCTACCTTGCAGGTACCCTAGTTTAAAGATATAAATCCTAGCATTGTTGCAAAGCAAATTTCCAGAATTTAAGACTCTAAATAGGGAGTTACCCATCATCCCTTCCGCACGCAATGTTTAAGGTAAAAGATTTTTGAATTATCTGTATATATTTTTACTCATATATTTATATTTATTAGCTGTATATGTATTCAACTAATGTGTAGCCAGCGTATAGGGTCGGGCTTGAGGCGCGGGCATCCAAAAATTAGAAAATGACATACACTGCACGCATTCCCCGCGCCATTTGCTTCCTACTGCCAGCTACGCCAGGCGCCAGCTATACTAATGTGATGTTGGCGGCATTCAAAGCCTTCTAATCTAGTCACAGGCGGCCCAATCTCTGAACGTCCTATATATTTTGAATATTTAACCGTTATTATATTTTAAAATAACAAAATAATTCAAAAAATATTAACAATATATGTAAAAAATAAATCTCACTTGTTAATAGAATCCATTTGTTGTGTTTCTGAGTTTAGTTGATGCGATTGCTTTACGTTTTCGTCGTACTTGAACGGTCGTCAGTACTATGGCACTGGACGACATGGCC